CTTGATCTAGGTTTTTTTTTTTTTTTTTTATTTTATTTTTTTTTATTTATTTATTTATTTTTTCTTTCTTTTTTTTTTTTAATCTCCTCCCACCAGCAGAAAGACAGGATATACAAATAACGTCGGCCCATCAGAAAAAAGCCTAGTTTCTGTGAGGTCGCATATTTGTGTTACGGGGTTAAACATTTGTAATTGCAAAAACGATTTTTCTGGGCGATGTGGAGCAATTATCTGACAGAAAATGAAGAGTTTGCCAACATTTTTGGCCATGACGGAAGTTATATTGATCCAAGTTTGGAGCAATGTAACTAGGTAATAAAAATATCCATACCTGGAATTACCCTCTTTACTATGGAATATGTATTTTCTTTATTAAGAGACCTGTATGAGGAATAAAGAAAGCAAAGCTCTTCCATTAGAAACACAACCATTATGATTCCATATATTTGTTTGCAGGCTTCATTAGCAAACTACAGGCGCTCTTCAGCCTAACCACCTCGTGTCGGATCTACAGTAAACATAAATTAGACCACTTATCCTAACCCATTTCGGCTGTCTTAATGGTATAATTAATCCCCCCACGACCACGACCTTTTCACCCATCAAAAAACACGCCGGACAGACTGACCAGTGCGGCTGCCGCACAACGCCACTAATACAATCACCTGAGGCATTTAAATATTTCCCGACAAAGTCCCCCTCCATGTCCCTGTCCCTCAATTCCAAACCAATATCTCAACAGGAACTATACGAGCATACAACCAAAACTGGGTCCAACGCTCGCTAGCTTTCAATTAATCACTGCTTAATTAGCCTGTGGCTTAAAAATGATTGCCATTTTATTGAGGTTTTCCATATCAGGAAACTTAATCAAAGAAATTGTCCTGTTAATCAAATTTATGTTTTCACGTTCTGAAAAGAATCACACTGAAAGGATAAATTGTGGATTAACCCAATTGGATTGTTGTCCCCCGAATCCCACCCACTGTTTTACGACAGCCCTTCTGTATCAGTAAGGGAGATATCAATCCAAAAACAATACATACACATCCACCTCCCGATAAAAAAAAAATTCCCAATCAAAACGACCCCACCATTTTTTTTTTGCAGCCTACAACATCCCATACAAATGCGCATTTAGTTATATCTCGCCTCTGTGTTGCAGACAGTACCCTACCCATAACCAGCCCAGGGACAACCAGAATCACCCAACATTCACGCAACACAATTCCACCAAACAAAAACAATCAACCAAGCGATCAGCAAATCATGTGGTGGTGTGGGTTCGGGATATTTGGTGGATTTGGTGCGCCATCAGAGTCTCTCCTGCCAGATATGGGATGTCAGAATTTCTGCTTTGACAGAATATACTGCTTTTCTGCTTGCTTGCCAGTAAACGGATGGCGCCATGGTAATATCATATGAGAACTACCAAAATCTACAAAGACAAACACAAGACAACACAGCCGTCTAAAAACGCGTTTTATTTTTCTCCTTTTCTTCTCTATTTTCCCTTATTCTGTTCTTGTTTTCCAATTTTGTCTTTTTTTTGTTGCTTTTCCTTCTGGTGGTTTTCTTTTTCTCTCCTTTATCCATCAATCTTTTGTCCCGTTATAGCTGTACACATTCCTTGGAGTTGTGCTCCCTGTTTTCCCTTCTTGTCCTTTCTTTTTTATGCTTACTTCCTTTTATGTTTTCAACTGCATGTGTCTTTTCTCTGTTTAAGAGTTATTTTCTTGTTTCATATTTGTTTCTGTAGTCCTTAGTCTCTTTATTTTTTGTTGGCTCTTTATATTTTCGTATTTTTTTTTTGCATTTACTTGATATACAGATCTTTATAGGATGTTTTTTTGTAACTAGTCTGGGCCATTTTTGTTGCTTGAGTGTATTTTGTTCTCTATTTCATTTTAAGATTTGTGTCTCTCTGATTTTGTTATAATCCACATTTTTTTCTTGGTTTCTCTATCCTTCTTTTTAGGGCCTTCTCCGCCTATTTTGGGTTAGCTTCGTGTTATTTGCCATGCTCTAATCCTCCAACTCATGTTTTCTCTAATCGGTTGGTTATGGGCTGTTTTTTTTCGTTATGGGTCTCGTTTTTGTTTCTCAGGTGTTTAGTTCTACTCTCTAATTTTCTATTTTTCTTTATCCTTCTCCTCCCTCTTGTTGGTTCTCGGTTCTTTTCTCAAGTTTCACTCCTCCCTCTCTCTCTCTCTCATCTCTCGTTCTTTCGTCCTTCTGTCTCTCATCTCCCAAAAACCACATACTGAAATGTGTTCTGTATGGTTTGCAACTTACAAGAAAAAGCCACACAAGTAAAAAAACAGAGTTCTGTTCTCTTTCTGCTGCCCTCATCACAACAAAGCTACCAGTGTCTTCCCTCTCTCTAACACACATAACCAACAGTTACTACTGCAGTCCACAGGAAGAGGACTAGCACCTGTTGATGGAATTCAGAGGACTTGTCTTTCCATTCACTCATCACCTGGAGTGGTTTACATTGCGTTCACCGCTTCTTCTGCCTGCAGGGCAACATAGGCAGGAGGAGCTTCTAGCTCTCTTCTGCTTGGTCACACATGTTTACAAAAAAAAAAAAACAAGCCTTTGGGATACAGAGTAGGTAAAAATAAATAATTGATATTGATAAAATGTTTTAAATTGTCATACAAATATATACTGTATAATATGAAATCAAATCTTTATTATTCAACCCCCAAAATTTGGCAATAACATGGTCGCGGACAGTTTTCTGCCAAGTTCAACCAGGCTGTGTCATTACCCTGCAGCCTGAGTCTTAGAATTACAGGAAGGTGAAGCCTCCATCAATCAAGATGTAATATCACCAATCATCTCATCTCACCCCCATTGTGTGTTTAGCTGGTTAGTGGGCATGGAGGAGTGAGGGAGGAGAGTGGGATGTCATTTACCAACTGTGTGTGCACCCACATGTGTGACTGTATAGTCACATGGGTTGCTCAGATGTGATCAAGAAGGGAAATGGACAGCATAAAAACCTCACTGAAAACTGAGCATGGAGTGCACTAGTTAGCAACTACACTGCTCTGCAAAATATTACAACACAAAATAATTGTTAACCACTTCCCGACTACGCTATAGCCAAAAGATGGCTAGTTCTGGGAGGGTGTCCATGGATGTCCTCCCAGAACCACACCCCCCGTGCGCGCCCCCTGGGCCTCTTCGAACACAGCTAATCATGTGTTCAAGCAAAGGGCCAATCAGAGCCGCCTTTTACCAACTATGTCCAATCACAGCAGATCACAGTGTAAATAGGAAATGCCGGTTATTGGAAGTCCTCTCCTCGTGCTGACAGCACATGAGGAAAGGAGAGCCAGTAGATGCATTTCTCAGGGGGACAACTACACTTATCATCAGGGCACTAATGATCAGTGTAGCCGCATCAGTACCCATCAGTGCAGCCAATAGTGCCCATTTGTGCTGGCTATCAGTGCCCATCTGTGATGCCTGTCAGTGCCCATCAGTGCCGCCTATTAATGGCCATCAGTTCCGCCTCATCAGTGAATCCTTATCAGTGCCCATCAGTGCAGCCTCTTCAGCTCCCATCAGTGTAGCCTTTCAGTGCCCTAACATTTCACCCTAACCCTAGCCCTTAACACTAACATTTCACCCTAACCCTAGCCCTTAACCCTAACATTTCACCCTAGCCCTTAACCCTAACATTTTATCCTAACCCTGGCCCTTAACACTAACATTTCACCCTAACCCTAGACCTTAACCCAAACATTTCACCCTAACCCTAGCCCTTAACACTAACATTTCACCCTAACCCTAGCCCTTAACACTAACATTTCACGCTAACCCTAGCCCTTAACACTAACATTTCACCCTAACCCTAGACCTTAACACTAACATTTCACCCTAACCCTAGACCTTAACACTAACATTTCACCCTAACCCTGGCCCTTAACCCTAACATTTCACCCTAACCCTAGACCTTAACACTAACATTTCACCCTAACCCTAGACTTTAACCCTACAATTTCACCCTAACCCTAGCCCTTAACCCTAACATTTCACCCTATCCCTAGCCCTTAACCTTAACATTTCACCCTAACTCCAGACCTTAACCCTAACATTTCACCCTAACCCTAGCCCTTAACCCTAACATTTCACCCTAACCCTAGACCTTAACCCTAACATTTCAACCTAGCCCTTAACCCTAACATTTCACCCTAACCCTAGCCCTTAACACTCACATTTCACCCTAACCCTAGCCCTTAACACTCACATTTCACCCTAACCCTGGCCCTTAACCTAACATTTCACCCTAACCCTAGCCCTTAACACTAACATTTCACCCTAACCCTAGCCCTAAACACTCACATTTCACGCTAACCCTAGCCCTTAACCCGGCGAATTCGAGGGAATAAATTCGATTCAATGCGAATATATTCGCTGCGATTTTAACTTATAAAAGGGTGTTTCTAGGCTTCAGAGAGCCTTTATATTAGTGCAGAACACTGTACCTTTAAATTTAAATGCCCTTGGAGTCTGCTGGGGAAGAGAAATAATACTGTCAGTCAGTATGACATGCAGATGAGTGCCGTCGATCTTAGAATCACCGCACACTTCACTCATTTGGGCAGTCACGGGGCCAAAACCAGAGTGTGGAGCCACAGTGCGGCGGTGGAGGCAGCAGCAATGGGAGGCCATACAGCACCCTATGACAAAAATGGAACCCCAGCAGTGTGAGGAGACCTGAAAGTGGCACATTGCACAGAGTGTGGCGATGGAGACAGCAGCAATGGGAGGCCGTACACCTATGACAAAATGGAACACACCAGCAGTGTGAGGAGACCTGAAAGTGGCACATGGCAGAGTGTGGCGATGGAGACAGCAGCAATGGGAGGCCGTACAGGGACCCATGAGAGACTCTGGACCTGGCAGCAGCATGAGGAGGCGGTACTGGGGCCCATGGCAGATTACGGGCCTGGCAGCAGCAATGGGAGGCCCGTAATCTGCCAGCACCCTATGACAAAATGGAAACACCACCAGCAGTGTGAGGAGACCTGAAAGTGGCACATGGCAGAGTGTGGCGATGGAGACAGCAGCAATGGGAGGCCGTACAGGGACCCATGAGAGACTCTGGACCTGGCAGCAGCATGAGGAGGCGGTACTGGGGCCCATGGCAGATTACGGGCCTGGCAGAGCAGCAATGGGAGGCCCGTAATCTGCCAGCACCCTATGACAAAAAATGGAACACACCAGCAGTGTGAGGAGACCTGAAAGTGGCACATGGCAGAGTGTGGCGATGGAGACAGCAGCAATGGGAGGCCGTACAGGGACCCATGAGAGACTCTGGACCTGGCAGCAGCATGAGGAGGCGGTACAGGGGCCCATGGCAGATTACGGGCCTGGCAGCAGCAATGGGAGGCCCGTAATCTGCCAGCACCCTATGACAAAAAAAATGGAACACACCAGCAGTGTGAGGAGACCTGAAAGTGGCACATGGCAGAGTGTGGCGATGGAGACAGCAGCAATGGGAGGCCGTACAGGGACCCATGAGAGACTCTGGACCTGGCAGCAGCATGAGGAGGCGGTACAGGGGCCCATGGCAGATTACGGGCCTGGCAGCAGCAATGGGAGGCCCGTAATCTGCCAGCACCCTATGACAAAAAATGGAAACACACCAGCAGTGTGAGGAGACCTGAAAGTGGCACTGGCAGAGTGTGGCGATGGAGACAGCAGCAATGGGAGGCCGTACAGGGACCCATGAGAGACTCTGGACCTGGCAGCAGCATGAGGAGGCGGTACAGGGGCCCATGGCAGATTACGGGCCTGGCAGCAGCAATGGGAGGCCCGTAATCTGCCAGCACCCTATGACAAAAAATGGAACACACCAGCAGTGTGAGGAGACCTGAAAGTGGCACATGGCAGAGTGTGGCGATGGAGACAGCAGCAATGGGAGGCCGTACAGGGACCCATGAGAGACTCTGGACCTGGCAGCAGCATGAGGAGGCGGTACTACAGGGGCCCATGGCAGATTACGGGCCTGGCAGCAGCAATGGGAGGCCCGTAATCTGCCAGCACCCTATGACAAAAATGGAACACACCAGCAGTGTGAGGAGACCTGAAAGTGGCACATGGCAGAGTGTGGCGATGGAGACAGCAGCAATGGGAGGCCGTACAGGGACCCATGAGAGACTCTGCTGGCAGCAGCATGAGGAGGCGGTACAGGGGCCCATGGCAGATTACGGGCCTGGCAGCAGCAATGGGAGGCCCGTAATCTGCCAGCACCCTATGACAAAAAATGGAACACACCAGCAGTGTGAGGAGACCTGAAAGTGGCACATGGCAGAGTGTGGCGATGGAGACAGCAGCAATGGGAGGCCGTACAGGGACCCATGAGACACTCTGGACCTGGCAGCAGCATGAGGAGGCGGTACAGGGGCCCATGGCAGATTACGGGCCTGGCAGCAGCAATGGGAGGCCCGTAATCTGCCAGCACCCTATGACAAAAAATGGAACACACCAGCAGTGTGAGGAGACCTGAAAGTGGCACATGGCAGAGTGTGGCGATGGAGACAGCAGCAATGGGAGGCCGTACAGGGACCCATGAGACACTCTGGACCTGGCAGCAGCATGAGGAGGCGGTACAGGGGCCCATGGCAGATTACGGGCCTGGCAGCAGCAATGGGCCCGTAATCTGCCAGCACCCTATGACAAAAAATGGAACACACCAGCAGTGTGAGGAGACCTGAAAGTGGCACATGGCAGAGTGTGGCGATGGAGACAGCAGCAATGGGAGGCCGTACAGGGACCCATGAGACACTCTGGACCTGGCAGCAGCATGAGGAGGCGGTAGGGGGGCCCATGGCAGATTACGGGCCTGGCAGCAGCAATGGGAGGCCCGTAATCTGCCAGCACCCTATGACAAAAAATGGAACACACCAGCAGTGTGAGGAGACCTGAAAGTGGCACATGGCAGAGTGTGGCGATGGAGACAGCAGCAATGGGAGGCCGTACAGGGACCCATGAGACACTCTGGACCTGGCAGCAGCATGAGGAGGCGGGTACAGGGGCCCATGGCAGATTACGGGCCTGGCAGCAGCAATGGGAGGCCCGTAATCTGCCAGCACCCTATGACAAAAAATGGAACACACCAGCAGTGTGAGGAGACCTGAAAGTGGCACATCAGAGTGTGGCGATGGAGACAGCAGCAATGGGAGGCCGTACAGGGACCCATGAGAGACTCTGGACCTGGCAGCAGCATGAGGAGGCGGTACAGGGGCCCATGGCAGATTACGGGCCTGGCAGCAGCAATGGGAGGCCCGTAATCTGCCAGCACCCTATGACAAAAAATGGAACACACCAGCAGTGTGAGGAGACCTGAAAGTGGCACATGTTTGGGGGCATGATTCATGGCGGATTTAGTCAGTTGTGTCAGGAACTGGTGGTTTGAAATCCAGACTAATCCCACGCCTGATTCATTTTCACAAACGTGAGTCTCTCCACACTTTGGGTGGACAGTCGTGTCCTCCGCGGAGTTACAATACCTCCTGCCGCACTAAACACACGCGCTCCGATGCCACGCTACTGGCCGGGCATGACAGCCTTTCAAGGGCAAATTCAGCTAGTTGGGGCCAAAGGTCAAGTTTCGTTGCCCAGTAGTCAAGGGGGATTGTCTACCTCGTTGGGCAGGGTGCTGTCCAAGTAGGCCCAAGCCTGTTGTTTGAGGTCCTGCTCCAGGTCCACCTGATGCTGCTGCTGCTGCTGCGGCTGGTTAGTAGTTTCCTCACTGCGCTGGTGAAGAAAGCTACTCATCATCGACTGCAGACTGAGGCAGCCGCTGCTGGTGGAGCTGCCACTGCTCCTACCACCCCCACCCCTCCCCTGCTGCCATGGCAGCGGAACGCGAGCGCACAGGGCCCACAGTGTCTGAGGATGGACGTTGGCGCAGAAAGGCAGAGACCAACTGACTACATAGGTGGTTTTTATAGTACGTTATTTTGGCCCCCCTCTCAGCAGGTGTGAAAAAGGCCACCATTTTTGAACGGTAGCGAGGGTCCAACAAGGTGGACAGCCAAAAGTCATCCCTCTGTCTGATGGTTATTATTCGGCTGTCGCTACGCAAGCAACCGAGCATGCTATGGGCCATTTGTGCCAAGGAATGCGAGGGACTCCCTGCCTCCATCTCCACAGCATACATACTGCCACGGTGCGTCTGGGTCCTCTGTCTCCTCCTCCCTCCTCCTCTACCAGATGCTCCTGCTCCTCCACTCCTGTCCGCTGAGTGGAAAAACCACCCCCATTTCACTCAATAATTCCTGAGCACAAATGTCCTCCTCTACCTCCTCCTCCTCCTCTTCTTCCTGTCCTGCCCCCACAGGGGTCATGTGGCGTTGAGATCTGTGCGCCACGTCTACCGCACCCTGACCAGCCATTGTTAACAGCATTTGTTCCAGGACGTGCAACAGAGGAATGACGTCGTTCATCCCATAGTCCTGCCGACTCACGAATAGCGTGGCCTCCTCAAAGGGCCTGAGCAAGCGGCAGGTGTCACGCATGAGCTGCCAATGGCTGACATCGAAGTTACACAGGGGAGTACCTTTATCCGCTTGTAACATCAGGAAATCGGTGATGGCCTTTCGCTGTTCGTAAAGGCGGTCTAACATGTGTAGGGTTGAATTCCACCTTGTTGCAACGTCGCAGATCAGGCGATGCTGTGGAATTCCGTTCTGTTCTGCCGCTGCAGCTCAAGGAGGGTGTGCTTTGCGGTGTAGGAATGGCTGAAATGCATGCAAAGTTTACGTGACATTTTAAGGATGTCTTGCAGTGGGATGGTGGATTTTAGGAACCGCTTGACAACCAGATTGAACACGTGAGCCATGCATGGCGCATGGCACAACCTTCCTTGACGCAGAGCAGACACCATGTTCTTTCCGTTGTCGGTCAACATGGTTCCGATTTTCAGTTTGCGCGGAGACAGCCATCTGTCGATTTCTCTGTTCATTACACTGAGAAGTTCCTCCCCTGTGTGACTACGTTCGCCAAGGCATACCAGGTGCAGCACAGCGTGACACCGTTGCGCCCTGCACATGTGATATGCCGGTCGGGTAATGGGACTTGGCACGGGGGTGGCGGCTGAGGACAGGCGGCGGAAGAAGAGGTGGTAGAGGCGGACATCTTTTGTGGACCAAGGACGTGCAAACGTGGAGGCAAAAGCGGCGTGACCTGTCCAAGTTGCTGGTGCGGCTGTGCCGGCACCACGTTCACCAGTGGGCCGTAAATGACATGTACTGTCCCTGACCGTAGTTACAGCTCCACACGTCGGCGCTGCCGTGCACTTTGGCAGAGACCGACATGCTCAAAGACTGGCCCACCATCTCTTCTACATGTGAATGCAGGGCTGGCACTGCCTTTTTGGCGAAGAAATGACGGCTTGGCACTCTCCACCGCGGCGCGGCACAAGCCATCATTTCTCGGAAAGGTGCTGAGTCCACCACTTGGAAAGGGAGGGACTGCAGCACCAGCAACTTGGACAGGAGGACGTTCAGCTTTTGCACCGGGTGGTGCGTGCTCGCAAACTGTTGTCTCTTGGAAACGGATTCCAAGAAAGACTGCTGACTGGAATCCGTGAAGAGGAGTAGCAGGAGAAGGAGCATCTGAACGAGCGGAAGATGCCAACGAGAGCGCGACAAACTCCCCTCAGCAGAGGTGTTGGAGCCTTGACTGGCTGATAGAGGGCGATTGACGTCGGGTGACGGAGCAAGTAACGGAGCGGGTGATGGAGCGGGGGCTGGGGGGCAGGCAGAACCGCCGTATCTTTATCACGGTTTTCCCAGGCCACCAAATGGCGACGCTGCATATGCTGACGCAACGCTGTAGTCCCAACATGGGCCCCCTGGCCACGCTTGACTTTCTGGCCACATAGTCGACATACGGCTACGTTTACTTCCTCGGGCGGCTTGACGAAAAATTGCCACACCGCCGAGTAGGAAACTTGCCCCCCCCGATACTCCTCACTGGCTGACTGCTACTTCCTCCGTGCACACCGGCACCACTACTGGCCGTGGTGGTAGGCTGCAGTGGAGCTGGTGCTCTACTCCGTGGCCGTTTGCCTCCACTGACACTGCTGCGACCCTGCTGCCTCCTGGGCAACCCACCGACTGTTTTGCTCGCTGCCAAGCTGCCACCCTCTTCTCCTGATGATGCGGAAGCAATAGCCTGATGACGACGAGGCTGCCAAGTGCGATCAGCCTCATCATCATCAATTAGGGTCTCCGCCTCACTACTAGCCCCCCCCCTCGGCTGCGTGTGGGTCAGGAGACAGACCTGTCTCTAGACCGGCTACCGAGCCACTCTCCTCGCCACTACTTCTTCGCCTGGCTGCTGAAGAGGCGGATGTCTCCCCCCGTTCCCTGACCGCCCTCTGTTAGCTCTTCCTCACTGTACAGTGGGGCTGAGCCCCACAGCATGCGATACTTCGCTTGGTGAGGGAACACCAAAGGACAGGGGCAGGTAGAGGACACGTGATTTCAGTGGGCTTGCTCCCCGGGCCATGCCAACTAACGGTTGTGTCTGACGTACCCACCGACCGTTGGCTGTAGGTGTCAGAGGTGACCTGGGAAGAGAAGACGACCGAGCCAACCAATCGATGACGGCAGGGTTGTCGGTGGAGACACGACCGCTGGATGACACCGGGAGCACTGGCCCTGGCTGCGACTAGTGCTGCCTCGACCCCTTCCTCTGCTGCCACGTCTGCTCGCTCCTAAAACATTGCCTCCTCTGCCACTCCTCTGCATGTTGTCTGACATACTCTTT